AATTTCTGAATAAATACAAACCCAGATATTGCATCACTTACTGCATCAATATTGAAACAAGTAGCAGGATACTAAGTTTGTTCAGTAGGAAGCAAAGCCATTGTTGGACACATCAACACTGAGCCAATTTTTTGATTTCAGATAACTACAAGCAAATTAAATGTGGTACATATAACAACTGATAGCTTAAAAGAAAATACATCAGTAATTTAAAATTAACACAAAACTGAAATGAGCAAGAAAGGACCATTTCTGAGAGAGCTACCATGATTCTTATGCTTTAGAGTTAAAAGTGAGAGACAAACAGGGAAATTATCTAAATTCTGGGAGACTGTTCAAACAAAAATAACTAGTAATAGACACGGAACTATGCCTTCTGAAAGATTTTGACAGCTGAATATACCATGCTACCATGCCAAAAGAGTCATATCACTTGGCATTTGTATACCCTTTTCATAGTGTGATTTATTTGTTAACGCACTTATTTCAATTCAGTGCTACTCAGTTCATACAATGTGCCATTAAAAAGTAACATTTAATAGACAGAAACGTTCTCATTTCATATGCTTGAGTGAAAGCTATTTTACTTAAAAATATCCCATTACTTCAATGTCATGTTTGTTGAAGAACTCAACATGCTTATTTTCCTTTGGTTCCAAGAATAACCCAAGTCTAACCAAATGTATGCCAAAAGAAACTACTAACTAGGTTAATAAAGCTTGATGTTTTCCTAGTATCTCCCTACATCTTGTTCTAGGACTTGTGATTTAATGAATAAATTTACATTAAAAAGGTATTTGGTTAAAACAAGAAGTATGCATGCTCTTCCTTACTACCTTTCTGAAAAGAATTATTTTGTTTTTTATTTTCATTCTGTGAATCTTGTTCAAAACATCCTGCAATATAGATGTAAGGGCTTTCTTTTTTCTTTTTACCCTTCAGTTTTTAGGTGATATTTATAACGATGCGCATATCATTCTATAAAATGAAAGATGTTCTTGGTATCTTGTTCTTAAACATATTATAGCTTTGGTAAATAAACCAGGTTAAAGACATACTGACTTACTTATGTTTGAATTTAAATTTGGTGATCATGATACTATTATACAATTAAAACCACCCAAAGCAACCACAGCATAGAAATTCTCATCTGTCTACAAATTCAAAACTTTAAAGTTCCTGGCTTAGAAAAGTATTTCTAAATTCCCTAGTTAATTTGTCTACCTACAATTCACAGAATTCTACAAACATGAACAATTCAAAAGGAAAAGAGTAAATAAATCATCAACCCATTAGAAAGGTTTTTGTTTGTTTGCTTTTTTTAAGAGAAAGGCAGGTGGGAGAAAGAGAAAGATAATACCAATGTGAAAATTCACATTTCTGTCAAAATGTAAGTATGCAAGAGTGCTATTTTGAAAATGTGCCATAAAGTCTTTTCTTGCTATAAAACCATTATTGTAGCAAAAACTGATAAGGTTTTCTGTAACCAAAGCTACTGATCAGTCAGCATATTTTGCAGTTATTAAAATGTCTCAGAAACTCAGAATAAGAAAGCTTAGAATCAAGTAAGTTTTGGGACACAGTCAATTTTTATCACTAGAAAATTTAGTCATGTATCAGGAATGACAAACCATATACACCTCTGGTTCCTTCAAAGATACTTAGCCTGTTTTGTCTTGTGCTTTCTATATTCTTTGCTATTTAATATTGAAAGTATAGTGACATTAGTGCTTTTTGGAAACTTTTGGAAATATAAATTTAAATATTCACCCAATTTTAAAATGGAACACTGTCTGTGATCCAGTTTTAGTGTGCCACACCCTCAATTCTAATATCATCTACCATGGAATCAAGTGATATGAGCCTTAGATATCTTTCAACTTTCTCCCTTCCTTCTCTGTGATTTAATATATAACTTTAAGACACCAAAAAATTGGGGTAAACAAGAAACAGAGCTTTATGCTACACTAAACACAGTGGCTCCTTTAATACATTCACACAGGATGCTTATTAATGAAATTAAATATCTGCCTATGAATATCAGAAAAGTAATTTGATAAGAGCGAGCTTGGAACAAGGCAAATGGGGGGGGGAAGCTGGTCTCAGAACCCATTGTGCCATACCTGACTTTAACATGTGATATTCAAACGCACGTTCACACGCCTTGCATCAAAGAAACAAAACAAAAATATTCAGCTATGTTATACAAAATTTTTTTACATAAAACATCATAAATCTTGAACAGATTTACTATATCTGAATTCTAAAAAGTTGCCTATAGAATGGTGCTGGGATTCTGTTCTCTGCTTGCTTTTAGGCAGTGCTGTTGCTTAAAAGTTGACACCAGGCACAATATTTTAAAACAAAGTCAACAAGCAAGGAGCAGTAAGTGGATTTGAGCCTTTCCCAGATGTCAGTCCTGAGGATGCTGCAATATTCCCCATTAAAATGTGTAAAGCTATGAGGCGGATTACTGATGCCTGAGAGAGTGGGTGACTTGACATGCACTTGTATGACTGTAATAATGGCAAACAGTGCAGTTTTCTCTTCCTCAAACAACACTGTTTTAATAAACTGAAAGAACACTCCAGTTCTTAGACAAATATCAGAAACAATATTTAACAGTTAAGAAAAAACACATATCACATTCTAAAAATGCCCAATTTTCTTTTATCTTCTGATAAAATATGCAGCAGCCTAATGGCATAAAGCTTATTAACTCATTCTGAGAAAGTATATAAGTATATATATCTTACTATCATTGAATATATAACATATGTCATTCACCTCTTCCTTTTGGCTTCTCACTGCCAAAGTTCCAAATGTCATGCATTTTAACAAGACAATGCTGAGGAGAGCAGCATTTCTGATCATCTGAATTGGCAGCTCAAAACAGATACCACTCCTTTTACAAAGGGAACAAAGGGTGAAGGGGGTGTGAAATCTGGGCAGTGAGCTAAAGGGAAACCGTGCACATGAAATTTGGGTTACCATGCCCCAAGTGTGTGTGCCACCCAAAACATAACACAATTACCTACTTCAACAGAGCTACTACCAACATTTACTAAAACCACATTAAAAATACACAGGATAATGAATGGTTTGAAAGAGTGCATTTGGAAGCAGAGAGAACCCAATTACACACCTTCCTGCAACAGAGTGCCTCAATTATACACAAAATAAACTTAAGCTGTTTACAATGTTTCCCAATTTTTTTTTATTTTTTCCCTCTACATTTAACTATTAAAAAAGTTTTTTATTAATAAATGGGCTCCTCTGTGGTTCATATACAATCATAAGTGAACTTTAAATTCCATTTTATACAAACATCTCAAAAATATTGGGAGTGAAGTATGGTAGGAAATATTGCTCACATTGCTAATTAACATGCGTATATGAAAGGAGGAAAATGTTTTGTTAGTGCATATACCTCCAGAGCAGAAAACCCACCCCAAACAAAAGATCTAAATAAAACATACAGTAGCTGATTACAAAAAAGGTAATGTCCACAAAATTAAGTTTTTCATGCTATTCTACTTTCCAGTACTATGCTTCAGGTAATCAATTTGCATGGCTAGATGTTGGATGCTTGAGGTATATAAGAAGGGATACCTGCATTTTGAGGAAAATCTGTCATCTTAAAGGTTGTTTCTTTTTATTTGTTTATTCTGGAACTTTAACATTTTTAAAAGAATCTTTTATTGACATCAAACTTCACTTAACTACAGTGACATTTCACTTATAACAGATGACAAACAACGCCTCTATCACTAGGCACTTTTAAAAGGGAGTTCAGGCTTTAGAGAACCCTTCTGATGCAATCCCATGTATGATATTACATCATCCCACCACCCTCATCCCACTGAAATTACCCTTCGGGGGAAATATTATCTAATATAGCCTGATTAATTTACTGTGGAAGAAATTAGTATAAAATGACCAAAGTAAATGCATCATTTAAGACTAATGAAACAGCCTAAAATGTCAGGTTTGAAGGAGCAGACAAATTGTATATACTTAAATCTAATTAAATAATTAAAATTTGACCTGTACTTTATATATTAGTGAGACACAAATATAGGCTATTTTCTTTTAAAATTTCATTCACATAATGGAAAATTTCTCGTTTATTAAAAATATCACATTTTGAGACTAGAAACAGTAAAGTGCATGAAAAGTTTAAAATATAAATTTCAGAAAACTCTTATAGCAGCAAAAAAGCAGAATAAAGAAAAACTTAAAAACACAGACACAACCTTTTCCTGTTACTGTGCCATAATTAACATCAAGTAGCCAACCAATTTTTCCCCAGAAAACGATACTATATTCACTGCCTCTTGAGTTACAGATTTTCAACTGGCCCCTCCTGGGCAAAAAAAAAAGATTCCAACATATCTAAAGGCATCAACAGTTGGGAATAAACCAGTAGCTTCTTAATTCAACCCTGACAGACAATGGGAACAAAGATTAAAAGCATATGATAGCCATTTGGCAACTAGAGTCAGGAAAAATGATCCAAGGTTTTCAACTACTGTCCCAAATTTGTTTTTTCTATACCCCAAATCCTCAGCATTGTCACCTTAAAAACCCAGAACCAACAGCCACATAACCTCCTTTGGGAAACACATAAAATATCTGTATGGCTTCCCCCTTCTGAAACTTTGATCTGGGCCTTTTTATTCAGCAGATTTCTTTTTTCTTTTATCATTTGACTGTAATGGCAAAAAAGATATAGATCATATACTATCTGTTTTTTCAGTACAACTAGACAGAAAAGAAGGGTGAATAAGAATAATGAAAAACGCTAAACATTAATTTTGTGGGCATCCTAAACATACCAAATTACATTTTCAAGATGTGTGGCAGTCTAAATTACTTACTATTATCCTACAAAAAAGCTAGAGGGACAAGCTTAGAATTAATACTGCTAATAAGGTTATAACTTAGAGGGGGACAAAAAAACCCAGTGATGCCTTAAAAATATAAAACAAACAGCCAAAGATTGTCATGAGATGCTAAATGCTTGATTTTGAAAGCATATTGTGCAACCATCTTTTCTTTCCCAAATTTTCTTATGGCTAGAGGCTATATCATAGTTTATATACAGATCACGCAAATTTAAGTGCTCTGTTAATGTGCAAATGACTTGGGAATTCAAAAATCAGTTTATTATAAAGGAAAACACAAATTCAAGAAAGTATCCCCTGAAAGGCATGCCATCATTCTGTTTAAAATCTTTTATTTATAGTTCTTAAAAACTGCCTTTTACAGAAATGTTGGCTCATCTGAAATCATTCAAAAGAAAACATTTGTTTTAGAAAAACAAACACACTGTTGTTGGGCCTCAAACTGTTAATTTATCAATTATGAATGCTGACTCCTATTATAATACTAAGAAGATTCAATTTAAAAACAAGTTAAGTTAAAATTTTGGAAAGAGATTAAAACTTTGGTTCTGGACCTAGTGCCAAATGATACCAATATGCACAAAAATGTACAAAGGCTTACAGCAAACACATAATGAAAGGAACCTGAAGAAGCAGCTTAAGGATGGCCATACTTCACTCCTACATACTTTGATTTACAACTGTACAGGTCCATAGCAACATATCCCCGTCTTTGCGGGGTAGTACTCCACTACCTCCGATTAGGCAAGTGAACACCATTGACAAGAGGCAGGAGTGGAGGGTGGAGTTCAAGTTGTGTTAACAGTGAGAAGTGGTCTGAAGGGATGTGAGGGTGTGGACACCCAGTGATGTTGTTCTCAACCAGCCATTGAGGATCTAAAGGCCCCAGGACACCAAGCACGTTCATATGAGTCTTGGAATAGAAAATGTAGTCAATCACGCCCTGGAAAGAGATTGGGGATTGAAAACAAAAAACAAAAAAACAAAAGAAAGAAAAATATATGCTTAGAAAAAAGAAAAACTCAAGATATATAAAGAACATTTCATAATTCATAATTAATAAAGGTTCAATAACTAAGCACCCTTACTTCTGGTACGTGTTTGTCTTGACAGTGGATCAAATAAGGCCGAAGTCTTCAATGGATATTACATGAAATAAGGGAAGCTCAGTAGGGAAACATAGCACCCTAGTGGAATCATAAAGCCTTGCATTTGTGCATAAGTGATAAAATGAGAAGCTAAATACACCAAATTATGTCTAGTCACCTTTAGAAGTGGCCTGCTTGGTTTAGTGAACTCGAATCAGGTATATAAATATAACGGAACCTATACTAACTCTATCAGTTATAATAGAAAATAAGATATTATATGAACACATACATAGTTAATGGCATTATTTTCACATCAAGTTATCTAAAGACACTTAAACAAAGCTATAGTAAAGCATGTTTTAAGATTTGCTACTCCTAGTTCAGCTTTTCCAGTTTTGCTATGCACATACAAAATACTATACATAGTTAACTAATCTGTTCTTTAGTTTAAAATACTAGTTTCACATTTTCTAGTATATGTGTAAATTCTGGATTTCCTTGATGCATAAAGATAGCAAAAGGAGCCCATATATATCAGTTGTATCTCTTAGAACTAGATAACTTGCTTTGTTTGACAAATATGTCTCAAAACGAGTGGTCCTTTATTGTCCCAGGCTGTGAATGCAAGAGAGCAAAATCAGATTTACTCCTATCTAGTTCCTATCCAAAACAAGAAAGCCTGAGTCCAAGTAAGGAGAAATATTTCCACACCTGTAAGTGCCTATTTACAAATACTGAACATAATGAGTTTCAATCAATACTTTAAATGGTATAACAATGAAATGGACTACTTCGGAAAAAAAATTAATTAAAAAAATACAGTATGGTGAAATTTTGGAAACAAAAACTTCAGTTTGCTGATTTTCATTTGACCAAGATTAAAATACTAAAACAGATCCTCTTTCAAAAAGATGAGGCCTTATCCAACCTTACTTTACCACAAAATAAGGAATCTACTTGAGTGCAGAGGACTCCAAATCCATATGGTCAAAAAATATGATCACAAGGTATCATTTTGGTTAATGCCTAATTTTACAGTGATATTTTAAGAAAAGAGTTAACAAGGGTCAGGATGACTTTACCTTCCTTTATAAGACTACCTATTGCTTCAACTGTAAACAAAATAAAATAATCTCAATTACTTATATTGAATAGAATCTCCCATATCTCATCACTTTATTAGAGTGTCATCATGTACATCAGCTTTTAGAGTTCTTTGCAAATACAGGCCCCAAGAAAAAAGTTGTTCAACACTCCAGAAAGTAAGATGTATTTAATTGAAGGCATCGCTTGTAACTATTTTCTTAGCTTGAAACATTCAGAATAAAAACTCTTATTAAAACCCTTGGCAGGGTTATTATGCCTGTGAATTTGCCCAAATATTTGTACATATGCATATGTGGAAAGATTACTAACTTTGGCCATATTCACAAAGGAGGTTATAGATTAGTGATTCTTTTTTTTTTTGAGTTGGAGTCTCACTCTGTCGCCCAGACTGAAGTGCAGTGGCCGCTCCCGGCCACAGCAGCCTTGACCTGCTGGGCTCTGGCCATCCTTCCGCCTCAGCCTTCCAAGTAGCTGGAACTACAGGCGTGCACTACCACGCCCAGCTACTTTTTTGATTTATTGTAGAGATGAGGTCTCGCCTGCCCAGGCAGGTCTCGAACCCACGGGCTCAGGCCATCCACTCACCTCAGCCTCCCAAAGGTGTGGGATTACAGGCTGAGCCATTGAGCCCAGCTTTTGGTTTTTTTTTGAGTTGGAGTCTCATTCCGTCGCCCAGACCATTTTTGATTCAAAGAGTTTATAAAGAGACAATGTGAGAAAATTCGGTCTTCATGTTAGTAAAAACCATATAGTAGAAGTTCTATACACTATGAGAAAAAAGTTCTACACACTGTATTTGAGAAAATAGTCAAAACACAATGAAAAGTTTATGAGCTAGCATTATACAAAGCTGTTTTTTAAAAAAATGCTAGAAAATTATAATACTGTGTAAATATCATAACATAACAAAGAAAGGTTTGCTGTTTGACATAATAGGAAAGTTGTCCTTCCTCTTTTCATTACACAGGCATGTCCTTAGATTAGGGGATGTGGGTGAAGTGATGTGCAGCAGCAACCGGTTTGAATTATACTATTTATTAAAGCTACTTGGGTCTGATTGTAATACTGAGAAAAAAGTAATTGTCCTGCTTACCCTTCAAATGAATCTGAGTTTGAAATACCATTTTTCTACAGTAGTAACACTTGTTTATTATAAAGTAAACAAATGCTAAGCCACATAAACACAATTCAATGCCTCACTGATACAATGGCACCTCACTGATACAACTGGATTTTTTGTTTTGTTTTTGAGTTGGAGTTTCACTACATTGCCCAGGCAGGAGATGCTTCCACCTAATGCCTTGCAAGAAGCTAGGACTACAGGCATGCACTAACACACTTGGATAATTTTTTGGATTTATTGTAGAGACGAAGTTTTACCATGTTGCTCAGGCTGGTCTCGAACTCCTGGGTTCAGGCATTCCTCTCATCTTGGCCTCCCAAAGTGCTGGGATTATAGGTGTGAGTCACTGGACCTGGCCTTGATTCTGTATTTAATGCTGATCACCTGACATTTTAAATTTGATGATACCTTTTTTTTTTTTACTGATTGCTTTCAATACTGGGATAGCATTAATTAGTAAAATATATGTATAAAACGGAAAAGTTCATTTTCTGTTACCTGGACAAAAATCTCAGTTATCTCCAATCAGGTATACCCTCAGAGTTCATTCTCTGGCCATCCTCTTGCCCATCCTATTCCACGCTCTTATCACAGTCATCTACCCAGCCAGTCTACGTATCTTCCCATATGCCTCTCTCCCACCAGTTTATACCTCTGTCTTTCTTTCTCATCCCATCTCATATATCCAAATGTCAAACACTTGCTGGACCAGACATTTCTATTTCTTTAACTGTATTTATTTGAACAATATAAATGGTTCAATATGATTTTTTGATTCAATTATTAACAAATGGAAGATCTTCCAAAGAAAAATCAATAAAAAATGTTAAACCAATTCAGATAATTGATGGCTTAGAATAATATACCATATTTTGTTTTTCTAATTTTTGTTTGATGAGCAAGCAAAAATTAATTTTTAAAAGAGTCTAGGTGAAGTAGAATATTTTCTTGTTTACCTTGTTATCTACACACATCCAAAACAAGAACAAGAGTTGTAGAATTACTAAACACTTATTTTGGGAAATGTCATTACTGGCTTTCTGGCTTATGCTGGCAAGTGTATTATATATCACTATAGTCATGAGGATAAGATTAAAGCTATAGTAAACTGTGTGTCATTAAATCTAGATGTGTTCCTTTAAGCTTACATAAGTGCAGTGGTGTGCTACAGCCAGCTGGTACCAGCTTTCTTAGCATCTCTTCCCAACTGTGCATTCAATGATATCATGTTTGGAGCCTGGAATCTACAGTAGAAGTACTTAACCAAGGGTACCCTTGGTTAAGGGTAGCCTTAAATTTGATATACCTAACCTTTTTTACTGATTACTTTCAATACTGGGATAGCATTAATTACGTAAAATATATGTATAAAACTGAAAAGTTCATTTTTTGTTACTTGGACAAAAATCTCAGTTATCTCCAATCAGGTATACCCTCAGAGTTCATTCTCTGGCCATCCTCCTGCCCATCCTATTCCACGCTCTTATCACAGTCATCTATCCAGCCAGCCTACGTATCTTCCCATATGCCTCTCTCCCACCAGTTTATACCTCTGGCCATGGACCGGTACTGGTCTGTGGCCTGTTAGAAACCAAGATGCTCTGCCTCCTGTCAGATCAACAGTGGCATCAGCTTCACACAGGAGTACAAACTCTATTGTGAACTGCACATGCAAAGGATCTAGGCTATGTGCTCCTTATGACAATCTACTGCCTGATGATTTCCCTACCGCCCACACTGGTTTGTGGAAAAATTGTCTTCCACAAAACCGGTCCCTGGTGCCAAAAAGGTGGGGGGGGGGGGGGTCGCAGACTTAAACCACATAAATCAGCAAACACTATAAATCAAAGTTTTCCCCCAAAAGTTTGTTATTAAATATTTATCAGCACATCACTGCACGGGTATGATTAAAACAAAATAAACTATCACTGGAAAGAATTACCTACTCTAATAGCAAAAGTACTAAATTAGATTCAATCTCTAAGCAATATTTCACTTCATTATAAAAACAATTATTATTAACTATCAATTATTAATATCAACACCTGAATTTCCTTTCTTCATCCTATTTGTTTCTTAGAAAGACGCTAACAAATACTAAAGATGAAAAAAGGTTATTGGCAATGTGAAAGAATCCATTTCCTACATTTCCTTTGGTATTTTATTAAATTCTCTCTAGGCTTCTTATACCAAACCACTTTCTCACATGCATTTTTTCAGGATGGCATAAAATTTTATTATAGATGTCTGAAATGCCAAAGTCAAAGATACAACAGAAGAGCCACAAGTAGGTGGAGTGGTCAAAAAACTGGCATTGGAAAAGAAATTAAAGAAAGTCACCATAATCAACTTTCTAAAGAACAACTGGTCCTGTACAACCTATACAATAGGCTCTCCAACGTTTTTCATATTTTGTAAAATATGCTTTTTCCTCCTTTTTTAGGATGTTGTACCGGGGAATATCTTAGTACAAATACATAGATATAAAATAGACCTTAAGTACAACCTTCTCTAACCCTATCTTCACAAGAAACCTGGAAAATTTAAAGAAACATAAGCTATCATGAAAATCACTAAATACTATACAAATTCATTCAAAGTGAGTTTTATTAGTTATTTATTACTTGAGTTCTTGCTGAAAGTGAGGGGTGGTTTGAACTATGTGAATATATACTAAGTGGTTTGAACAGTGCATGGTACATAGTAAGCATTTTAGAAATTTTTGCTATTGTCAATGTTATTGTCAATGTTATGAACAAATGAGGGTTCAAAAAGAATTTAAAACAATAATAATAACCACAAAACCCAGAAAACCTCCTTATATTTAGGTGCATACTTAGCACAAACATTTTGAGAATCTAAATATTCCTAAAGATTATACAATTAATCATAAATAATTTACATCTTCTAGTCACATGCTTGTATTTGAAATAATTTCTACACTAGCCCTGAGGCTGACACTCACTTTGAAATCAAAGGTGTAATTGGTGTAAGGCATCAAGTTATTTTCATAGGCGCTCTTAAGTTGGAAGCCATGTGTGATTCTCCCTTCCGAGCTTCCATTCTTTCCATTGCAGCTGAAGTTCATAAGACACTCATTGTACCTTAGTTCCTTGAAGTCTTTATGGTTGTCAGCTACTCCTCCATTGCTTAAATATTCCACAACACCTAGGAGAATAAAGAAAAGAACATTATCATTTAGCATTTAGACCTTACACAAGGCTTCATAGCTAACAGGTTCAGTGATTTTATTAGGTTGTACCATATGAAACTACTGTCTTTTTTGTTGGTTAAAAAAAAAAAAATCAGCCGGGCTCGGTGGCTCAGCCTGTAATCCCGCGCCTTTGGGAGGCTGAGGTGAGTGGATTGCCTGAGCCCGCGGGTTCGAGACCCGCCTGTGCAGCGAGACCTCATCTCTACAATAAATCAAAAACTCAGCCAGGCGTGTTAGCGCATGCCTGTAATTCCAGTTACTTGGAAGGCTGAGGCGGAAGGATCACCAGAGCCCAGCAAGTTGAGGCTGCGGTGGCCGGGAGCGGCCACTGCACTCCAGTCTGGGCGACAGAGTGAGACTCCAACTTCCAAAAAAAAAAAATCAAATAGCAGCAATTTCACTTGATTCAACTGAATTAAAGGGTATTTGTCTATTTCAAAACAAAGAATCAGGATCACCCAAAAATATCCTTAGTTTTCTTAGTGGTTCTTCAGGCCAAAGATGATTTCCAAGACCTATAGTGGCATTTACCAGGAAGATCTTAACCCTAAATTTTTTGGAAAATTATTCTAAATCACTATCTCATTAATAATTCCCCATTCTAAGCAGTCTATCTACCACTTTGGGACATAAATAGAGCATACATAATACAAAATCATTTATAACATAAACAGATTTTGAATCTTCAATGTTCCAATGACTAGTGTCAGTTAGATACTATCATTCATATTTTGAGCTTCAGTAAGTTTGTTTTCTCAGTACTATAAGAACATTATATGCCAGAGGCATACCATTTGACCAAAAATACCAGATATGTCTAAAAAGTTGAAGAGAATAACAGCATTCAAAAAAGTGTACCACTTCTGAATTTAAAAAATACCGTTTTCTTATTATGATGTGATTAGTGAACACTGCTATGAGATAGCTTTTTCTATCTGTATTAAGGATTGACAGCAAGATATAATGAATAAGCAGTGAGTGCAATATCAGTATTGTGAATGGCATAAAAGGAACTACCACTTATCTAGTATTTACTACATGCCAGGCACCGTTCTAAGTGCTATACACATTTAAATCTCACAAACAACTTATGAGGTGGATAACATAATTACCCCCTTATTAAAAATGAGGAACTTAGTCATAGACTGCACAGCTCATAAGTGGCAGAATCAGAATCCAACTCTGACAGTCTGGCCCAGAGACACTCACTATGCTGTGCTGCCACATGACTTAAGCTAACTGGCTTAAGCAGAGCAAATCAAATAGAAGGAGAACTTGCATTTGAGAGCAAGTCAACTCAAAAAAAGGATTTAAAGTGCCAATTGGACTAGAAGCTGAAGACAAACGTTTATAAATAGTGGTTTCAGCATTTTTTTTTTTTTTTGCTAAGAAAAAAGATGTTTGTGGTGGGGCTCAGTGGCTCAGCCTGTAATCCCAGCACTTTGGGAGGCCAAAGTGAGTGGATTGCCTGAGCCCACGGGTTCAAAACAGCCCAGGCAACTTGACAAGACTTTGTCCCTACAATAAAATAAAAAATAGCCGGGCGTGGTAGCGCATGTCTGTAGTTCTGGCTACTGGAAAGGCTGAGGTGGAAGGATCGCCGGAACCCAGCAGCTCGACGCTGGGGTGGCCGTGTGCCTGCCTGCCACTGCATTCCAGCCTGGGAGGAACAGTAAGAATCCAACTCAAAAGAAAAAAGATGTTTTCTAGCCTAGTGACTTTTAAAACTTCCCAACTGTAGGCATTTGGGTTATTTATTTATATTTATTGTTGGATATTTTAAACAATTTTAAATAGCCTAATAGTGATAATACACAAAGTTTAGAATATGCTTTGCTACTAGCAAAAGAGTAATACTTTAGTGTTTTACATTTGAAATTTAATATAAAAATGCAGAACTGATTTTTACAAAGACATAAAATAATATGTTAGGACATAACACAGTCTAGTGGAGCTCAAGAAATAATACAAAATCTTAGAAGAATTTTTATTAGTCTAATAAAAATTTATTAGTCTACCTAATAACAATATTCAAATATCACTTAATGAAGTCACTTAAAAGTTGCCAAAGTTAATACCTAGGGAGCTACCTTTGATAAGTATTTTGTGGCTGTCCCTTCAGATCACCCTTCTCTGCTACATTCTGTGCCTCAGAAAGCTGATCTCTATTGCATCAGCTGCAAATTCTACCCTTCCTTCCCCTGCCCCTCTACCCACCCCACTCTGCTGCTAGTTGGATTTGGTCAATGGGCAGCACTGGCAGGAGATCAGAGGACAGGAGTAGAGTGGGAGTGAGTGCACATTCCCCTGGCTCCCTTCTTGTCTGTTTGCCAGGGATTGACTACATCACTCAACTCAAGGCATCGTTATTATGTGCCCTCTCCTATAAAACTCTATTTTGTCCAAGTTCTGATAACAGCTTCCATCATTTTCCTCTTAGGTGTAGGGGTGGTAAAAGAGACCCTAGATACCCTAGTGGTGAAATACTACATCATTCACCGTTTTGTTTCCTTTAACCCAGCCCACAACTTTAGAAAAGGCTTCTTCATTAAACTTTCCTAAATTACCCTGTGTCCATCTCCGAGCTTCTTACTGATATACTTGCTAATTTAGAAGAGAAATTTTCTACTCAAAAGTTAGGAGCTAGGTGGTATTTGAACTAGGAGTAAAAGCAGAATTGAAAGTAAGAAGGAAATGATGTTATAAATACCTGAATCTGGCAATGAGTTAAGATCTGCACATAGCACCAGCGGGATGGAATTAGGATCTGCAGTTGGGCTGCCAGGCCTACTAGAGGCTTTCTCCAGAATGTTTTTAACCTCTGAGACAAACATCATGGTCTGGATGAGTTTCACATCAGAATACTCTGGGTCCCAATGCATGTGGGCATTTGCCACTATAAGCAGCTGTTTGTCTGCAGCATGAATAGGCTTCATACCTAAATTTAAACATTACAGAAAGAAGATAGTTATGCTTATGTTTTATGTTTCAACAAAAGTGGTATCTTAAAGTTTTTTCAAAAAGATCAATAGCCACTTCTTTATTATTTTTCACAATTTTATGCCCTCCCTTTTATCACATAGATTATTAGAAGCTAAAGGATTGAGATTCTGGTAATCCTAAAATGAGAATTACTCTTGTAGATCAAGTTGGCAAACTATAGACCATGAGCTAAATCTGCCCCACCACATGCTTTTGTATAGCCTATATGAGCTAAGGATAATTTTAAATTTCTAAAGCATTCTAAATAAACAAATAAAAACAAAAACAGACAGTGATACAGATTATGTGTGAACCCACAGAACATGAAATATAGTATTTACTATCTGGCCCTTTATAGAAAAGTTTGCTAACCCCTCCTCGATAAGCCCAAGTTAGAAATTATACTATGATATAATCAACATTTGATTATAGTGCTTGGCACTGGCTGACTTCTTAGTTTAAAAAAGCCCTTTAAGTATCTGTCATTTAAACATCACAATAACCCAATGAGGCACATTTTCAGTTATTTAAGTTACCGAAACCTTAATTTAAATTCTTCCTACTGATCTTGCCTTTCCTAAGCACAACAGCGACAAGTCAGTAGTAAAAGGTGGTAACATTATATTAACCTATGCAGAATAAAATAAGGAAATAAATTTGCTATCCAAGCAAATTCATGCCACACACCCAAATAAAGTTATTTTTTAAATGAAAATTAGAGAGTAGTGTGCTCTGAAAGTACAGACACTTGGGTTTTAGACCTGGCTTTATTACTAATTATTTTAAGACTAAGTCTTGGGCAAGTCACATACCCTTTTTTGGGGTTCAGGTTCATTTGGAAAATGAGATATTCAACTAGAAAATCTCTAAGGTTCTTTTTTCCCTAAAATTCTATATTTTAAAAATTCTGTCAAAAAAGCATAGTACTTTCCAAATGGTAGGCAGGATAATACATTAAAAACTGTAAAAATTAAACTTAACATTAGGTAACATGTACTGACAGAGAAAGATGTCCATAAGATATTCAAAGCTCAAAGCACGGTATAATACCATTTAACTACAACTATATATACTCATATTCTATATGCTAGCATATAGAGAGAGAAATGAATAAGAGCTATTCTTACAGAGAATGAATCAGATGAGGGGATTTCTCACTTTTTAACTTTATATACTTTTGAACAGTTTGAATACCAGTGAATATACTAATTTAATTTCCCTATTAAAATTTCTATAGACATGCTTCTCAAATTTTTCTATTGAAATATAAACCCTGGAGAAGGAGACCTGATTTTCCAAGTTGGCTATTTTGGTAAAGTTAAATTTCTTTCTCGTCTTACCAAGCTATTATTATCCTCAATGCTGAGAAAACAAGCAACTGAAGTATCTGTTATATGTGACAGAAGTAGTCACTTTTAAAGTAATATGATAAAGAGAAATACTTGCAGCCAAAATCTTCTAAGCTATCATCATTTCTCAAAAGTTTTATAGTAATACTTTTGGCTATAAGTTAAATGTTTATTACATTAAGTATTAAAAATTTTCCCCATCAAAGGAGCCATAAGCACGTTTTATATTATTAAATTCCCCTTCAAGAAATACTTGAGATATATATTTCAGAATGTGAAAATGTCTACTGTATAATTTAGAATTACTTTTCTGCAAATTAAAAGGGGATAAAACTCCAAAAGAAATTCAATCTTTACAATACCAAGGGAAAAAAATGCACCAAACCTTTGAAAGAATGAGATTAAAAAGACATAAAAGTAGATTAAAATGGAGAGGTTAAAAAAAGAAAAAAATTCAAAATTTCATATCAAAGACTGATTGTCTTTGATAATGGATAAACTGAAGTATGGTGGGAAAAGGAGATCTGACATATACGCATGGTCTGAATGATTTAAATCACTTCCCAAGGCAAAAAAAAAAAAAAAAAATCTTACCTTCTGCAGAAAGTACAGGAGGAAAAAAGGCCCTGATGTGTTCTCACCCCCTTCTTGCTCTTGCTTAAAATATACTAGTAAGCAATGAAATGCTCTAAGGCAGGCAATAGAAAGGGTAAAAAAAAGGTCTGAGCCGGGCTCGGTGGCTCAGCCTGTAATCCCACGCCTTTGGGAGGCTGAGGTGAGTGGATTGCCTGAGTCTGTGGGTTCGAGACCCGCCTGGACAGGCGAGACCTCATCTCTACAATAAATCAAAAAAAAATTAGCCGGGCGTGGTAGCGCACGCCTGTAGTTCCAGCTACTCAGAAGGCTGAGGCGGAAGGATTGCTGGAGCCCAGCAGGTCGAGGCTGCAGTGGCCGGAGCGGCCATTGCACTCGTCTGGGTGACAGAGTGAGACTCCAACTCAAAAAAAAAAAAAGGTCTGGATAATACAAAGTACATAATGAGTTTCTGACTCTGAAAGAAGCTATAAATAATCCAAAATGCTGAAGAAAAGTACCATGTAGATAAAAGATCCCACTCTTACTCTGACAATGACTGAGATATAACAAAGAAACTAGAGAAAACATGCCAAGTACTTAACCTTAAAGACAAAAGATTCATAATCAAGAAGTTAAAAATATGGCTCAAAAGAGGACCAAGTCATCATAATTTCTAAATTCAGCCTAACCAAAACATTGCCTATTTCAAAGTACCTTTTAGACTTAGTGGCATATTAAAAAGACTTTATACAGATTACCTGGTATGTAAAAAAGACTGTGACAGAGAGCATAGAATATCCCCAGAAATATATGATGCTTTACAAAATTAGTGCTATTTCCTACCAATTTCCCTTAACTTTCCTCAAAAGATTAAAAAATAACTTTGTAATAAATAACAAGATTCTTTTCATTTGTTTTGATATGGGAAAACTTGGGGTGGTGTTTATTTTTAATAAGACTATTTTAAATATACTCACCTGCTCCAAATAGTTCTTTGTGGACCTCTAATACCACAGCGACACCAATGTTGTCTTTTGTCATCACTCTGTTCAGCATAGCTTCGGATCCATCGGAATTAGCCATTGCCACTTGGTTAAATTCCACTGTATGCTTCTGTACCAATGTAAATCTAAAAGGTACAAGGCATTATGATGATGATTTTAGGTACCTGGACTATCATTTAAAGGACCTTAAATGAAGGGTACATTGTCATTTTTTAGCTGCAAGTGGCCATGTGATACAGTTCTGGCCACTAAGACATAAAAAATCTGATTACTATAAAAACTTTACACCTTTGCCCCTTCCAGCTAGTGCCTGGGAAAATAATAACCATCTTATGACCATGACGTAGAAAGCAGGAAGTAGAAAGCAACATTCTAAAAATGGGGAAGCAGCTGAACCAGTTCTAGACTGCCTAGTTCTGGACTTATGTGAGAAAATTGCCCTTCCCTCATTTGTTTAAACTACGGCTAGAATATTCTGGTGCAAACAATCTTAACTAAGTCAGCAAGTTAATGAGAAAAAAGCAGAATAAATTCTACCTGTTCTGTTCATAGTTTTCTTCCCACTACATCAAGAAATTTATCAAGAAAATGCAAGGAAATGTCCTTATCTCAGCTAAGGAATAACAGATTTTCCCTTGGCTTTTACTAGAAAGCTGCAACTGGGTGCAAGTGTTCAGAGAAACAGATTCTGTAAGATGAAGAAACGGCTCTCCCTGTGATTATAACTTCTGCACTAGAAGTATTTCCCTTCCTTGATGCAAAGTTATTAAGTACTGTAATGTTGTAGGATTGAATAGAATTAGTCTAGCATTGACATTTAATATCAGTGTGACCTTGGTCAAGCCATTTAACCATTTTCAGGCTAATTTTAGTAATTTTGTGAAATATTTATAAACAATCAAAACCAACTGAAAATATACTACTGGCTAAGTGAGGACATCTTCGCTTTCATAACAACAGTCCCACTCCCACCTTTCTCCTAGCTTTGAAAATAGAAGTGTGCACATATTCCTTCAAAAAATGACTTTCTATGCTACAGGAATATGTACTAGATAAAACAATTATTTCCCTTCCTGCTCCAAATCTGAATGTCTCAGATATGCTAAAAGGTGTAAAAGGTCAGGTCATGTGCCTATTTCTATTTTTTTTTTCTTTTTCTTTTTGAGTTGGAGTCACTCTGTCACCCAGACTGGAGTGCAGTGGCCGCTCCTGGCCACTGCAACCTCGCCCTGCTGGGCTCCAGTGATCCTCCCACCTCAGCCTTCCAAGTAGCTGAAACTACAGGTGCGCGCTATCACGCCCGGCTAACTTTTTTTGATTTTTTGTAGAGATGAGGTCTCGCCAAGTTGCCCAGGCGGGTCTCGAACCCGCGGGCTCAGGCAATCCACTCACCTCAGCCTATTTCTAATCCAGTGTGCTTAAAGGGAGTATAGTTTCCATTCTCTACTCTAAAGAGGTGATTTTTAACTGAAACATGAAAAATGAGACGTCAAAATGAAGAACAGGATTAACAGCATCCTAGATAGGAGTCAGAAGTGAAAAGTCCCAAGACAGCAATGACCTTTGTGAGTTTATGGGTTAAAAAAGAATGGAAGAATATTAAATGATGCTGGAGAGGATATCATTTGATTTATATATTTTAAGATCACCTCAGCTGCTTTGTGAAGAATTAATTATAGGGCCAAATGGAAATTGGGAGGCCAATTAAAAAGTTTTGGAGGTCATTTGAATGAGAAATGCTGGTGGCTTGGACAAAGGCAAGAGAAATAAAAAGGAGTGAGCAGATTCAAAATATGTTCAACATACAGGATTGACTATCCTCCATATCAGACTTCTTCAAACACTTAAGCAGTGGAATACCTTTTCAAACAGTTCCTGGTGAAATTCCCATATATAAAACAGATCAAAGCAGTATTATGTTAGAATAAAATCAATCAACCTTTGTGATGAACATACAAATTGAAATCAGAGGACATAGGTAATAATATAGTCTTATCAGTCTTAATATCCTATTGATTTCTGTATTGCATTTTGGTTACAAAGTACAAATAAAAATCATGATTTATACAGATACACAGATATAAATGGTAAATAACTGGCTCTGCATTCAAAAAAAGAAAGCAGTCAGGCACAAACTTGATTCAGAGGTCTACACCAAAACAAGTCAATTAAGAAGCACCACAGGAACATGTTATTCATTTCCAAAAACTTGGTTTTTAAAACAGTAAGTAACATGTTATTTTTAAATCACAGTTCAAGTATTTGTATTTAATTTTTGAGATGTCTTCTAAATATTCACAGAACTTTAAAGGCTTATTTATAGTAACCTAGGATTCTGTAGGAACATCTAAAAAATCCTGTTAATAGTCATATTTTTAGTATCAGAATAATTTTACTTCTACCAAAGCCAGGTTATTCTTTTGTGAAGGTTGGGGGGTGAGACTCTAAAGAAATACCTTCCTTAACTAAAATTCCTTAACCCTGTATTTTCTCCCATTAAATCTAGATCTAGATATTTTCTTTAAAATAATATAGAATAAATCTAATTTCTCTTTCACGCTACAACTTTAAATATTAGACAATAGATGTCAATGTTCTCTCAACCCTCAAATTTTATCCAGAAAAGAAATGATCAGTTCCTTATGTGGTATATGGTAATAAAACACTTGTTCATATGAACTCAAGTTTACCCAAAAGCACAGTACCTAGAAATGGGCATAATAAACTACTGCCTTCTTTATTTGTGACTGTATTTTTCTGGACATGGTCATTGTACAGGAAAAGTTTGGGCCTTCCTTTGGCCCCCACTTCACCTGGTTTGAGATCAAGTACCCTTACTAATATTATATGCCCCGCTCTGGCAGTGTCCCACTACCACCAATCCCTTTTTTATAGTATTATGATAAATGTTCAGGATCTGCTTTTAAGTGAGAACACGTGGTACTCAGATATTAATTTCTGTGATAGATCACTGAGTATGATAGACTCTAAATCCAACCAAGTTGCTGCAAAATCCATAATTCTGTCAATCTTTATGGCTGCATAACAATCCATCAGGTATAGGTACCACATTTTTTTATCCAGTCCACTCTCAATGGGTAGCATGGTTGGTTCCATATTTTTACTATTGTGAATAGTGCTGCAAAAAACATGCACATATAGGTATATTTTTGTAGAATGATTTGAGTTTCTCTGGTTATAGTCCCAGAAGGGGGACTTTGGGTCACGCTGAAGGCCAATTTTCAGATTTTTTAGAAATCACCACACTGTTTTCCACAGAGGTTGTACTAGTTTACACTCCCATCAACAGTGTAGAAACATTCCCTTTTCCCTACATTCTTGCCAGCGTCTCTTGTTTTTTTGAGTTATTGATCATGGCCATCCTGACTGGAGTTAGGTGGTATCTCAGTTTGTTTTTAATTTGCATTTCTTTGATGGTTAATGAGGCTGAGCATTTTTTCATGTATCTGTTAGCACTGATCATATGTCTTCTTCTGAGAATTGTCTATTCATATCTTTTGCCCACTCTTTAATAAGGTTGTTTTTTCCTTTCAGCACGTTTGCGTTCCTTGCGATCCTGGATGTTAGGCCTTTGTCAGATATACAGTTGGCAAATATTTTTTCCCATTTTGTGGGCTGTCTCCCTGCTCTCTTGATGGGTTCTTTTGTTTTGCAGTAGCTTTTCAGTTTGATGAGGTATCACTCTTCAACCTTATCTCTTATGGCATGGTTATCTGGGATTTTGATTAGGAATTGGTTGCCTATTCCAATTTCCATAAGGGTGTTTCCTGTGTTTTCTAGGATTCTTTTAGTTTGAGGCTTTACATTTAGATCTTTGATCCATTTAGAGTTGGTTTTTGCGTATGGTGATAGGTAGGGGTCCTGTTTCAATCTTCGGCATGTGGTCAGCCAGTTTTTCCAGCACCATCTACTAAATAGATTTCTCCTCTCCCCAGTGGTTGTTGGTGGAAGCTTTGTTGAAGATGAGTTGGTTGAGAAATTGAAGTTTTGCTTTCGGAATCTCTATCCTGTCCCGTTGGTCTACATGCCTGTTCTTATATCAATACCAGGCTGTTTTAATTATTGTAGCCTTATAGTAGAGTTTAAAGTCTAGAAGTGTGATACTTCCTGCTTTGTTTCTTTTGCTAAGGGTTGCTATTTTTGTTAATTAAAAACTAAAACTATACTTTGGGGACAGCCATTAATTATAAGCCAAATAAGAATTAATGTATATATAATTTTTTTTTTGTTCATAAACCAGATCTCCTCAGCTATACTTATAGGTAGAAAAAATAATTTTATTAAATGAAATGTTTATTGTAGAGACATGGGAGCAAATAAAAATATAAAGGAAACAAAGTCACTTATAACCCAATCCCTCCATTAATAAGTCAATATATGTCCCTAGACTTCTCTCAATGCATGTACACAGAAATACTTTTACACAATTAGAATAATATTCTAGAAAAGAAGTTTATATTTTGGTTTACTAATAAACATTATATCAGGGATATTTCCTATAACATTAAATATTCTTCTAAATCAATTTTTATGACTGGATGGTATAGTCCACTATATAGATTCACCACAATTAACTTAATGATTATGCATTGGACACTTAAGTTATTTCTTACAAGAGATATTTTAACTAATGCTGTGATGAACTTTTTTTGCATACAAATACTTTCTGTTGATTTTCTTATTACTTCTTCTTTCTCCTTTCATTAATATCTAAGAGCAGCAAAATTTATCTGTTAGGTATCATTTCATGAGTTTCTGCTCACTAATTCACCATTCAGATACTAAGCACTCTAAAGCTTCATTATATTTTTTCAGTTTTTAATTTTTACAGGTATATAAAATAGTTGTATATATTTATAGCTTATATGTGATCATTCTATTTTTCTAGCAGTTAAAATCTAGCTTCTGGATATTTGTAAATATTATGAACATTCATTCTCTCTTTCTCAAATAATTGAAATTCTCAGTAGGACAAAATAAAATAACAATAATAAAAGTTACCATTTATGGAATACTATGTGGTCATAAAGAAGGACAAACAGATGGACTTCACAGCAACTTGGATGGATTTAGAGTCTGTCATACTCAGTGATCTATCACAGAA